CTAGGGCACAGACAACAGCACAACCGTGTCGTTGCCGTGCCACCCCACATCTGGGGACAGCCACACCACACCAGGGCTGGGGGCACCACGCCACCCTCCAAGATCCCAGCAGCTTCCTCTGTCACCTGCGGTCACGGATCCAAGGCTGGAGACCGGGACACCCCCAAAAGGTGGCATTCCGGGGCCACCGCCAGATCCATCCCCGGGGCCACCCCCTCACCCCCCGCACCCCCCGATACTCCCGCACCCGGCGGAGCCTCGCGGTAGCACCGGCACACGGCACCGAGGGCAGATGGAGGATCCCCACCGCGTTCGGGGCCGAGCCCGGTGCCGCCGCCGGGGTGCGCCGAGGGATGAGCTGGGGGGGGACGAGGGGGGAGGGGAAGAGGGGGGAGGGGAGGGAAGGGGGGGGACCCGGGGCCCCCGCCCCGTACCCCGCAGTGACGCAGAGCGGGGACCGACCCGGTGCGGGGTGACAGCCGTGACGTCACCGCGGCCCCCGGCTGCCATGGCGCTCGGTGCAGCGGGGCACGAGATGGGGGAGGGGAATGGGGGGGGGTGGAGGAGGGGGTCGGGGAGGGGATAGGAGGGGAGAACCGCGGAGAAAGGGGAGGGGGTTGGGAGGCAGGAATGGCCGGAAAATATATTAAAAGCGGAAAAACGGTATTTTTCGGTAAGGATGGGGGGAGGGGGGCACCGGGGCGGGTTGGGCGCACGGGGAACCCGTGTTGGGGGGGGCAGCCGAAGGAGGGGTCCCGCCCCGCCGCCCCGCTTTGTCCCCGACCTCCGCCACGCCGCCCCCGCCCCGGTCCCGCCGGGCCCCGCCGCTCCCTACCTCGCCCCGCCGCTGCCCCCGCCGCTACGAGGCGGCCATCTTGTGCGGCGCTGCGCCCGCCCCGGCGCGGGGGGGCTCCGCCTCCACCCGCCGAGCGGCCCCGACCGGGGGTGGCCCGGGGACGGCGGCCAGCAGCGAGCCGTCCCGGAGCATCGGGCGGGGGAGGCGGGGTGTCGAAGCGGGGGAGGGGGAAAGGGCTGCGGTTTGGGGGGCTGCAGGCCGACCGCAGGGATTGGGCGCGGGTTCGGCTGCAGGCCAAGCACGGAGCAGGACAGCCGAGCAGCTGCAGGTCCAGCGGCAGCACCGGCCGCAGGCCCGACTGGAGGCATGGCTGCAATCACAGCCACGGGAGCAGAGACGGGTCGTGCTGCAGGCCAGCTATGTATCCAGCTGCGGGCCCAGCCAAGGCCCAGCTATAGGCCGCACTGCCGCTGTAGGTCCAACCTTGGGCCCAGCCACGGGCCCTGCAGCCACAGGCCCTAATACAGGCCCAGCCACAGGAGCAGCTATAGGTGTCCAGCTGCAGGCCCGGCCACGAGCCCAACCAGAGACATGGCCACAGAGCAGCGTAGTCTGAAGTTGATAGCAGTAGCCACAGGCCCAGCCACAGGACCGGCTCCAGGCCTGGCTGCAGCCCAACGGCAAGCCCAGCTGCAGGCCCAACCGCAGGCTTGGCCACAGGCCCGGCTGCTGTGAGCTGACCTGGCCAAGACGTTCTGCCAGCACAAAGTGGGTCACAACAAAGCAGGAGCAAAGCGTCAAGAGTGGGTGGTGGTTGAAGGTACCAACACAGAACCAGAGCGCTGTGATGCTGTCGTGCTCCATGTTGGCAGCGGGACCAGGCTGTGGTGAGCGGGGTGTGGATGGACTTGTGGTCCGTGTGCCCTACATGAGGAGGTGGCAGCAGCACTGTAGTGGTGTGGCAGGTGTCACACAGCCGTCCCCAAAGTGGCTGAATTCACACCCGGCCCGTAGAACAGGGTCCACCGCCTCCGTTTAGGCTGTTATACCACAAAATCACAGTGGTGGTGTAACATCCCGCTCCCCAGTGCCTCCTCAGGGACAAACCCTCCTTGTCCTGGGTTGGAGTGATATCACAGCTTTTCTGCCAGCAAACACTGACCAGTTTGGTTGTCAGAATAAACTTCTGTTCAGACAGAGTGGTGATACACTGGCACAGCTTCACAGGGAGGTGGTGGAGTCACTGCCCCGGAGGTGTTTGAGAGCCATGGAGATGTGACTCTTGGGTCAGTGGACACAGGCGGTGGGCTGGGGTTGAACTTAGGGATTTTAGAGATCTTTTGCAACCTTTATGATTCCATGAAATCAGGGAAACCCTCCTGCCCAAAAGATGGACAAATTCAGTGCAGAACAGCTCAGGGTCCCGTGCACCAGTACCAGGGCTTCCCTTCGCGGTTTGCTCCCTCAAAGCTGATGGAGGGCAGCCAAGCAGGGCTTTGCAGTGTGCTTTTTGTGTTGATAGGGAGCAGTTGGTGAGATGCTGATTTTTTACACTAATGAAGCAGGAAGATGGAGAGCCATTTGAGGAGGGTGGCATTGGCAGCATCACTGAGCAACGACAAATTTCAGCCTCCAGCATCTTCCTTCTCTGTTTTGCAAGAATACCCATGGCTCAAAGAAACCCAGCAGGAGGAGGAACAAGTGCAGTGCTGGAGTGATGGAGGTGCGAGGGCTGAGCACAGGAGGTTCACAGCCAGCGGCACTCAGGGAGGAACAGGCAGAACCGGTCATGGTACAGCCAACCCTTGGGAGAGGCAAGGGGACGTGGGAACAGCATGCTGAGCCCAGGGCGTGCAGGGACCCACCGGGAGCTCTCGCCCCTTGACATGAGGGGGGCTTTAGGGAAGCCCCTCTGCTGCCACCATCATCCCCAGCAGTGTCTTATTGAGCCACTTGTAACGTTGCAGCGACGCAGAAGGGCAGCCACAAAGTCCAGGCTCAAGGATGTTTTTAATGGCTTTTTGTCAAGGGCAAAGTGCGTGCTGCTGGGAGGCAAAAGGGCAGAAAGCCCCAATGTCCCCAAAATCAGCTGCTCCCTGGGCCTCAGCTGTCACCTCGCCTGTGGCTTTAAGGCAAAATCCTGCCCTCACAGGCAGCCACTCATCCACCTGCAACGGCTGTGAGGCCCCGAAAAGTGAAGCAGCAACACTTGGTGCAGGGCAGAATCCCACAGTGACGAGCAGGGAGCGCTGCCCCATCCACACCTCTTGGCTTAAAGCTTTGCCTGAAGTAAAAATTGCTCTGAACAACCAAAAAGAGCCAGGAACCCCCCTGAAATCGAGCCCCAGAGACAAGGGAGGGCCAACCTTCACCATCTCTTATGGTTAAAGAACCATATGTGCCGTATCATAAATCATCTCACTGCAACCACCAACCACCCCAAGCCGGTAAAACCAGAAATGTGGGTGCAAGGTGCTGCACTCTTTGTCCCGCGTGCAGATACAGAAATTGCCCTGACTTGTTGGCCTCGCAGCTGGTGCCAGGGGCGCTGGGCAGGGCGGGGTGGCCTGGGGACAGGGCTGTCCCCTTCATCGTGGGGCCCCCCAACAGCACGGGGGTGGGGATGGGGTTGGCGGTGTGAGAGCTCTTGTGCGGTGTTTTGCCATTCTAACACGAAGAATTGGCAGAAAGAAACAAGTCATAGTGCTGGGCGATCCCCCATCCCCACGCGCTGGCATTTTGAGGGGACCAGCTGAGATTTTGGGGGCCATCACTGCAGCCTTTAAGCCAACCTAAGCCCACAGACAAGCACCCTCTGACCCCGCACATCGCCCCGAACCACAGCGGGGGGGTGCAGGGAGGGCAGCACTCACCTCTCAGTCCCCCATGGCCACGGGAGAGTGATGCGCTGGGGGGAGAGGGGGTGAGGAGGGGCTCCCCGCTTCCCCCTCCTGAAGGCTCATGCAGGGACAGAGGGAAGCACGGGAGGGACGACTTCACTTTGCTACCCTGCTTCCAACAGACAGCATCCATGCGCCCCAAACTTTTGGCAAAAAGGGGTGCTTTCCCCTTCTCCCTCCCCTCCCCCCCTTTGTTTTTCTTAATTCTTTGCAAAACTTCAGCCTTCGCTCGTTCAATTTCAGCCCGGGGCACAGCGGCAACTTTCTGTCTGCCGATACGTACAGAAAGAGCGTTATCCGATTAAGAAAAGGGGAGGGGGGAGGTCGGCACGGCTGGGGCTGGGGACGGAGCGATGGAGCCGCCGCCGCCGTCCTTTGTTCTGCGGCCGCCACTCGGGGGGATGCGGGGAGGGCAACGCGGGGCTCTGCGGGGAGCGAGGGGAGAACTGAGCCCAAAGGCTGTGGGGTCGGAGGTGGCCCCAGAGGGGAGGTGCGCTCCGCTGCGGGAACGGGGGCCGGGGGGGGGGAGGGGGCTGTCGGTGGGGGTGTGCGGCGGTGGTCGTTGTTGTTGTAGGGCTGTTGTAAGGGCTGCGTCAGCGTCCCGCTCGGGTGTTACTGCAGGGTGCTCAGCGGTGGGGCTGATGGTTACCGCAGGGCTGTGGCGGACCGTTGTTGGCGGGGTCCATGTCGGCATCCCCGCTGCTTATTGCTGTTGTCGTTGTAGGGTCGCCAGCTGTGGGCCCGTGCCGGGAACCCTGCTCTGTGGTTGCTGGGTGGCTCTGGGGGCTCCGCAGGTCCCACTGTTACTGTGGGGCTGCCTCTGCCCCCCTCTCCCACTCCCACCAGGCTGCCCTGCCCCACAGTTTCCTACCTGCCCCACCCGTGTTTACATTGGATCAGTCAGGTGGCCGCAGCCTCCCGCACTCAGGGCAGAGTCCTCCTTGCACCCCCCTCCCCACCCATTCCAGGGGTGTCCAATCCAGACATGAGGACACTGCCCACCCAGCGGGCACCGAACCCTCACCATTCCCCTGCCAAAGCAGTGCAGTCCTGGGAGCCACAGCCGAGCACTGTGCCCCCCAGAGACCCCAATCTCCCCCTTCCCCCCCCCAGAGATAACCAGGGGAGAAAGAAAACCAGGAGAAACAGCATCCCTGTGCTGTTGTTATCGACGACTCCCACACAGGCCCTAACAGCCACCTGGGAGCACAGCAAAGCTCTCCCTGCCCTGGAAAAAAAGGATTTAGGAGATGAAAGACACCTCTGACCTGTAGCAGCCCTCATGAGAGATTTTATCCTATAAGAAGAAAGGGAGAGATGAGCCTGCTGTCTGTCCCAGGAGGCCCTGTCCCCAGCAGTGGACATGGAGGGGGGGGATTCTATGTGCATCTCATCTTCTGCACAGTGAGGTGCCCCCACATCTCTCCTTTGCTCGAGGCAGAAAAGAGCTGCGTGACGCTTTTGGTTTCAAGGAGAAAATAAAAAGAAAAAACAAACAAGAAAGCATCTGGATTTTGTTGTACCCTAAACACAAATAAAAGCAGAGATTTTTGCTTTGTTTTTTTTTTTTTTCTTCTCTGTTTTCCATTGGAATGGACCCAAGCATGTTCACCCTGTGCTGCAGAACAGATGTAGGGGGGGAATCTGTGGCACGTGTAGAGCTGCAGCTCCCAGCGGCCTCGTGGATACGCACAGTGCTGCTGCAGGGAGTGCAGCTCAGGGCCCAGCAGCAGTGCCAGCTGTGTGCCCATCCTCGTGGCCACGGGGCTCATTTGGCCTCGGGGTGTTGTGGTGGAGCTCCGTCTCGCAGCGCCTTCACGAAATCCTCTACCTGCAGGATGGGATGGATGGCACCAGCTGTGCAGAACGGCGGGGACGGGCAGCGTCACCCACGGATGAAGGCTGAAGGCTGCAGGTCAGTTGGTGCCGTACCCACCCGTGCCATCAGCGCATCCTGCGCAGCTGCGTCGTGCTCAAAGTCCCCCTCGACGTCCAGCACCAGGACGGGGACGTGCCTCACCTCTGCGAAATGCACCCTGCGGAGGGGCGGGGGGTCAGAACTGGGGAGGGGCAGAGCAGGGGCGGGTAGAACCGGGCAGGGCCCTCACTCAGCGCTGCGCTCCAGCAGCCACCGCTCGTGCTGCGCGTGGAGCTGCTGCAGGTACTGCAGGGTCACGTCGCGCTCCTCCGGCCTCGCCCGGCACCGCAGCCGCTCCAGGCATCTCTGCGAAGCAAAGCGCCGCGTATCGCACCCGCACCGCTTTCCCGGCCCCTTCCTCCTCCTCTCCCTCCCGCACACCTGCGGGGAGGCGCGGAGATAGAGGAACGCGTGCGGGGCGGTGTGCGCGCCCAGCTGCCCCACGAGGAACGTGTGCCACTCCTGGTAGACGGCCCACTCCAGAGCGTCCAGCTGCCCGCCCTCGAACAGGCTCTTGGCGAACACGTACCTGCGGGCGGAGCAGAGGGGGGCTGACACACCCGCAGCGGCACCGGACCCGCACGGTGTCCCCCCCGCCCCGCACCTGTCGCTGTACACGGAGCGCTCAGAGACCCGCACGGGGCCCTCCGGCTGCTCGAGCTGCGCCTGCAGGCGGCCCAGGCACGAGAAGGTCTGGAAGGTGAAGGCCCAGCGCGCCGGGTCGCGGTACAGCCGCTGCAGGAGATTTCCGCCCTGCGGGGAAGAGCCGGCGCTCAGCCGCGGGTCCGCACCCACGCGGGTCTCTCCCCGCACCGCCGCCGCTCACCTCCGCCGCGCCCGCCGCCACCTCCCGCCAGCGCGCCACCGGCTCTGCCGCCCGCTGCCAGGCGGGGAAGGCGCGGCCCAGCAGCCGCAGGAACGTCGATTTGCCCACGGCTGCGGGCGGAGCGCGGCGGTCACGCGTGGGACCCGCGCTCCGCCGTCGCCCCGCCCCGCCCCGCCCCGCCGCCCGGTACCGATGTTGCCCTCCAGCGCCAGGCGCAGCGCCGCGCCGCTCCGCCCCATCCCAGCGCCGCCGCTCCCGGTGTCGCCGCGCGCGAATGCCATGCAAATGAGGGGGCGGGGCTTTGCTGCTTCCGCGTGACGTCGTGGCGCGTGAGAAGGGGCGGTGTCAGCGCGCGTGGGCGAGGAGATGGGGCGGGAATATGGTGATTTATGCAAATGAACCACCGCCATAGGGGTGGTCTCGGCTGCGTTGGAACGAGGAAAGGGTGGGGACGGGGAGTGGTGTTGAGGGGGCACCGGGACGGGGTGAGGGAGGTGTCAGCGCGGGGAGGAGACGCTGCGAAGAAGTCGGGGACACCACCGTAGGGTCCGAGCACCACCACGTGGTTGGAGGCATCAGCGACAGCTGGGGCACCGAGATCGGGGTGGGACGTCGCGATAGGATCAGGACAACGCCATGGCGTTGGGGTTGTCGTTATCAGGTCGGTCACCACCATGCGGTCAGGGAAACCACCACGGGGTCAGGACACCACTGTGGGGTCGGGGCAGCACCATGGGGTGTGGGCACCAACAAGAGTCGGAGGCACTCACAGCAGAGTGAGAGCGTGACCGTGAGGCTGGGGGCACCAAGAGAGGGCTGGGGGTCAGGATTGCGCTCATCCTCCCCCCGCTGTTCCCTGCTTTCCATCCCGCCCCCTCCCACCCCACAACACTTCAAAATCTCCCAGAGAGGGGGCAGAGCCTGGAGAAAAGGCTTTATTGCGCAGTGGGGGACGGGGAGGAGCAGTGGGGTGGAGGAGGAGCGGGGTGCCCCAGCCCAGGCACGGGGCAGGGCGCTTAGAAGCACTTTCGGTGGACGATGGAGGGCCCGGCCTCGTCGTACTCGGGTTTGCTGATCCACATCTGCTGGAAGGTGGAGAGGGACGCCAGGATGGAGCCGCCGATCCACACCGAGTACTTCCGCTCTGGCGGGGCGATGATCTGTCAAAGCAGGGGCTGTTAGCGCGAGATCGGGACCCCCAAAGCACCCCGAGGTCACCCCACCGAAGGGAGGGTTTGGGGTGGGATGATCCCCATCGCCTACTTTGATCTTCATGGTGCTGGGGGCCAGCGCTGTGATTTCCTTCTGCATGCGGTCGGCGATGCCGGGATACATGGTGGTGCCTCCGGACAGCACGTTGTTGGCATACAGGTCCTTGCGGATGTCGATGTCGCACTTCATGATGGAGTTGTAGGTGGTCTCGTGGATGCCGGCAGATTCCATGCCTGGGATGGGAGGGAGGCTCTCAGCACCCCAACCTCCCCACACCTACACAGGGCTCCCCCAAAGGGCTGCCTATGGCTCATGGGTGCAGTGGGGTGCGCTGGGGCGTGAGCAATGAGGCAGCATTGGGGTGGGCTCACCGATAAATGAGGGCTGGAAGAGGGTCTCGGGGCAGCGGAAGCGCTCGTTGCCGATGGTGATGACCTGCCCATCGGGCAGCTCGTAGCTCTTCTCCAGGGAGGAGGAGGAAGCAGCCGTGGCCATCTCGTTCTCAAAGTCCAGGGCCACGTAGCAGAGCTTCTCCTTGATGTCACGCACGATTTCCCGCTCGGCTGCAGGGGACAGGTGGGCTCAGCGTGGCTCTGCGGGACCCCCATCCCACCACCCCCATCCCTGATCCCGTACCGGTGGTGACGAAGGAGTAGCCCCTCTCCGTGAGGATCTTCATGAGGTAGTCAGTGAGGTCGCGGCCGGCCAAGTCCAGACGCATGATGGCGTGGGGCAGAGCGTAGCCCTCATAGATGGGCACATTGTGGGTGACACCGTCCCCAGAGTCAAGAACGATGCCTGGGAGGGGAAGAAGTGTGAGGGATGGGGCTCGGAGGCATCCAAAGGACCCCCGATGGTGGACACCATATGTGAGACTCACCGGTGGTGCGGCCGGATGCATAGAGGGAGAGCACTGCCTGGATGGCGACGTACATGGCCGGGACATTGAAGGTCTCGAACATGATCTGCGAGGAGGGGCGGTGGGTTGGATGGGGTCACACATCTCCACGCCCCCCCCCTCCCACGCACACTGAACCCCACGGCGCCGTACCTGGGTCATCTTCTCACGGTTGGCTTTGGGGTTGAGCGGCGCCTCGGTCAGCAGCGTGGGGTGCTCCTCGGGGGCCACGCGCAGCTCATTGTAGAAGGAGTGGTGCCAGATCTACGCAGGCAGAAGGGAGGTGGGGTCATCCTGTGGGATGGAACCGGGCCTCTCCCCTCTCCCTGTCCCAGGAGGGCTCTCACCTTCTCCATGTCATCCCAGTTGGTGATGATGCCGTGCTCGATGGGGTACTTGAGTGTGAGGATACCCCTCTTGCTCTGCGCCTCATCGCCCACATAGCTGTCTTTCTGCCCCATGCCTACCATGACGCCCTAACGCCAGTGGGAGAAATGGCCTCGTTAGCTTCATTTAAGCAATCAGAGGAAGGAGCAGAGAAAGGAGACATCCTGGGACCCACCTGGTGCCGGGGCCGCCCCACAATGGAGGGGAAGACGGCGCGAGGGGCATCGTCACCAGCAAAGCCGGCTTTGCAGAGCCCGGAGCCGTTGTCACAGACCAGGGCGGTGGTCTCCTCCTCACACATGGTGGGGCTGGGAGAGGCTGGCGCTCAGGGGGACCTGGGGGAAAAGCTGGGGTGGGAGGGAAAAATGCATTAAACGCAGCAGATGCAGCTTTCTGCCCGGCTGCCAGGTTGGGCTCTGCATGGTTTGAGGGTTTGAGTTCTTTTGCTGCTGGGGATGCACAGCTCGGCAAAATCCTATGCGGGCCACGATGCTCAAAGTGGGGCAATGCTCAGCCCCAGCACTGCTCCTTCATCTCATGCCAGCTGATGCCCAAAGTTTGCTCCAAAGCTGTCAGCTCATGGCTGGGAGCTCCGCGTGGCATCCTGAGCTGATAGCCCTGAGTGGGGCAGGCAATGCCCAGCGGTGGCCGATCCCATCTCAGTGACAGCCCCTCTGCAGCCTTTCCCAAAAATGGGAAAAAATGCTCAAATGTGCTCTCTCCAGACTGGAGGAAAGCAGGCAAATAGCCCCAAATAAAATAATAATAATAAAGACAGGGATTTCTCCGTGCCTGGAATCGTGCAACCCACGCTGGCTGCAGCCTGGTTCTCTTCGGCTCCATGGACGCCGTGGCTGGAGGGGGATCGTGGTGGGGCTCAGCCCCCCCCTATGCGGTGTAAATGAAGCTGGGGGTATCCCAAAGCCCCGGGGCACCCCAAAGCCCCCAGGGCTGTGCAGGGGGGGTGGGGTTGTTCCTTCCTGTTCCCGCGAGCAAAGAGAAATCAGTGCTGGGCAGTACTCACCGCAGACGTGAGAGCTCCTTTCCTCTGGGACCGAGTCCCGATCTGCTTTGGTATAAATACCACGAGCCCACGAAACCTCAGAGGCGGATCCTCTCTACACAAAGACCCTAAATAGGCTAAGTGATGGTGTGTTAGCCATATGGCCATATAAGGTGTTTTATTGCATTAAATTGACCTTGGACTGATGGTAGGACCCAGCACAGTTAATTATTGTAAGGGAAAAAAAAATCTACGTGGGGATGCTTAGGAGGCAACATCCCATTGGCGAGTCTGTTCCTTTTGTGCTACGCTTCAATAAACAGGCGAGACACAAGTCCTTATAAGTGACGTTCAGCAAAAGCGAGGTGGAGGTGCTCCGGTCCGATGGCCTTTGGTCCTCTCTGGTTACAACCCTGCACTGGAGGGCGGTGGCTGTAGGGATGGCCTGGGATTGTGCTGTGCACCTGAGTCATAAAATCATGGCATATCCCAATTTGGAAGAGGTTCAGCATCCCAACAGCACACCAGGTGATGGGAGGTGCGTCACAGCCTCGAGGTGCTGTGCTCATCCCTGTGTCTCAGCGTCTCCATCCTGGGGGTTTCCTCCATGGGATTTTTTTCCCTCCCTTTATTGCAGTTGTTGGGACCCCGTGGAGCAAATGGGCCCAATTCAGTGCAAGGCTGAAGGTGCTGCAGGAGTCCTAGAAGTGCTGCGTTCACCCTGACAGGGAAAAGGTCCCCTGGGCACCATGCAGCCTCACTAAAACCCCAAACCCTCATCGCTGAGCCCCACGTGGCCCTGCGTGATGGGTGCATCCTCAGCTGCCTTCCAGGAGGGTTTGGAAGCAGGACAAGCCCCAATCCCAGGGGGAGGTGGAGATCTGCTGCCCCCGAGCAGCACTGGGGCCACCCCAGTGCCCCACCATGACAAAGGCACCAGCCCCCATCCCTCACACAGCACCTGCTGAACTGCCTGGTGCCTTTTTAAGGGCAGCCGTCCTGTTCTGGGGCCTCTCAGAAGAGCCTGAGGATGGGAGGAAGCCACGGAGCTGCTATGGGGAGCTGTGGGAAGTGAGGCTGCAGCTGGGGAAACTGAGGCACAGCGCAGGCGCTGCCTCCTGCCTTGTTTTGCTGCACCCCGATCCATTCTCAGGGTGAGGGTGGGGAGGTGAGGGTGCAGCAGTGAGGACCCACGAGCTGCGGGGCCGCTGCCAAAAGGGACACAGGAGATCCCACATGGCTTCGGAGCTGTCATTATGTCAGTGAGGATGTGGGCACGGTCCCAGAGCGTCCCACAGCGGTGACTCTGCCCCGGTTCCCCCCGTCCCTGGGGGCTGGATGTGTCCCCAGGTCCCAGCTGAGTGTTCAGCGCTGTCAGCACCGCAGCTCACGCGAGACACCCGCAGCCACTTTCATCCCAGCCCGCGTCACAAGGCCTGCTGCCAAACATGAGGTCACCAAGGCAAAAGGTTGCCATATATGACTGCAAAAAAAAAAAAAAAAAAAAAAAAAAGCCAAACAAACACACACACAAAAAAAGCAACCCAGCAGAGGGGTAAGGAAAAAAAAAAATCAAAAGGGAGTGGTGGGATGGAGGCAGCCTGGCCACCGGGTTCCATTGCACCCACACTGCGAGGGGACCACAGCCACACAGAGCTGACGGCGTCCCAGCAATAGAAAAGGGAACTGTGCCCACAGCCACGCCACCTCCAGCCCCGCTGTGCCCAAACCATAGCGGTCCCAGCCCTCCTCAGCCCCCCGGTTCTCTCCCAGGGCCACGCAGGTCTGTCCCACGGCCACAGCAGTCCCTGTGCTGGGTCTCAGCCTCGGCACGGAGGGGCTGAAGCCGGGACCGCGGTGGCAGAGCCCAGAGCCAGAGCAGACGCAGCCTAAAAAGGAAAGGTTCGGCCACCGCAGCCAATCCAGCTGCCGGAGCGTGGCCGTGCCCGGGCTGCAGGGAGGGCTGCAGGCAGCCTGGGATGCTCGCAGGAACGCCCGGCATCCCACGGCACGCGAGGCCAACCCCAGCGCCACGAGCGGGAGGGGGCCGCAGGCTGAGGGCAGCGGGGGGAACGCAGAGCTCCCCGCACACCGCCAGACCTCCGCACCTCCCTATATGGGTAACATTCGCACGTTTCGCTGCTGAGGGCTCCTGGCTGGGAGCTCGGGCACGGGCTTGATCCCGTTCCTGTGTGCCTGAGGGCACAGAGAGGCACGGGTGATGGGAAACCCCCCGCAAAACATTCAGCCCTCGTTGTTGCAGCAAATAAAGCATTTCCTGCAAAGCGTGGTTTCGTTCGGGCGTCGCTTTGTAGCGAACTCCTTTGAAGGTCCGACAGTCCCAGCTGCAGATGGACGGGGTGCTGGGATGGGGGAGATCTCCCTGACGCAACGAAGTGTTGACTGAGTGACTCCAAGTGAAAAAACGCGACTGGAAAAGGCAGCAGCTCAGAGTGCAGCACCGGGAGCACGGCTGCTGCTGGGAGAAGCGCAGCCCTCGGGCACAGCCACACTGCGAGGAATCCGAAAAATCCCCCGTGAGGGTTTATGGGTCACTGGGACAACACGGAGAGGAGGCAGTGAAATGCCCCCGGCTCCTCTCTGCTCGTTGCCGGGCTCTGCTCAGTCCTGAGGCTGCACCAGGATCTGGAAAGTAGCTCTGTTTCAAGAGCTGCAAGGCTGAAGAGCAGACTGCTTCCTTTCACCCACGGGCAGGGAATGGACACTCCGACAGCAAAACCCACCTAGGACAACAGCTTAAAGAAATGAGGGCTGGAAGTCAATTCCCAAGGATGCCATGAGATCCCACTGCTTCCCTCCTGCTGCTGAAACCACACCGATAACTGCAGCAGCAGTTTGTCAGATAAACCATAAATAAACGGATTCCCTCCTCATTCTCAGCAGCTCCTTCCAGCCCAAGGCGTTAACTCAAAGAAAAAAAGAGAGAGAAGCAGCCCATAATACAACCTGTCTGTATTAAACTGTACACCAACCAATGTTTGCTGTTTTGTAGGTAGGAGTACAAGGGCACAGTATATCCATGTCTGTGCGTCTCCTGGGTGGGAAGGCAGCTCCAGCCCTCCCCCCTGCCCATGCAGATACATGCTGACGATCAGAGCATCCCGACAGAGGACACGGAGAGGTGATGCATCACACTTTGAGCCTTCCACTTTTCAGCAGTGCTCTTTCACTGCAGATACAGGTGAGGGCGGAGGCTCAGCGCGACAGCTCAGGGATGCAAAGTCACTGCTTGGCTTTCAACAATGAGGAGCACAGAGAAGGACCCCAGATGGTGCCCTGCATCACTGCAACACCGTGGAGTGCTTGGTTTGGCAAGGACAGGCTTCATAATGCTTTAAGGACTGCAGAGGCAGTCAAGAGCGAGTGTTTAAGGATTCAAGAAACACAACATGCCCAGGAGTTTGGGTGAGCAGCTGAGCCCCACGTGTGGATCAGCCACGGAGTGTACCAATGCTGTAACCATGGGATGGGAGAGCCTCCTCTGTCACATCACCAGCACCAGCCAAACCAAACCCTCGCTGGAGTGAGCGCCCCATCCAGGAAAAGGAAGAAAGTAACCAGATGCCCCCCTCACCATCACTGCAATTAAGCAGTGCTGCATCCAGAATCTTCTCACCCTAAACTCTTGAAATGGGGGTTCCCAAAGGAAGGGGAGCACAACGGTTGGGCCCCTTCTTGTTCCACTGGGCAGAAATGCGAGCACCAGGAGGGAGGATGGGTTCTTGCATGGAGTGAGAGGTGTTAAGAAGGTTTAATTTTGAACATTAGCAAAGATTTATCTGCTCCAACCAGCCACGCTCGAGGCTACAATTTACCAACCCAGAAAGAAAGTCAAAGCAGAACATGGGTTAATTTGGGTGAGACCCACTTTGGAAAGCACTTGAAGAGGTTTCACAGCTTAAGGATGCAGCAACTTGCAGGACCCTCCCCATCCAAGAAGCTGGTCAAGCTACAAATTAAATATTTGCTTCAGTGTTAGCTTCTGTCTTTCAATCTCCTGTTAGCTTTTCCCCACACCTTGAACCTCCACACCATTTCCCCAGTCCAACACCAGGCACCGAGTTCATGAGCTAAGGTCAGGGAATCGCTTTCACCCTGACTGCTCAGGAGGAAGGGAAAGGGGCACCACATGGTGGAAATCATCTGCTACAGAAGGAACCAAAACTTTACCTAGGCCTAGAGGGAAGGTAGGTGGTTTTACAGTGGGTATTTAAGGCAAGAGGCCTATCGTAGATCCATCAGCACCACATCTCTCTCGACTACTGACACATGATTGCAAGTCTGGAAGAGAAAGAAGAAATGGGGTTATTCAGATATTCCCACAGCTCAGGCATCTCCTTCGTCTCCTGATGCAATCTGCATCCATTGGCCTTCTGAGAACTGCCCTCTCCTTGCAGTGAAGAAACAAAAGAAAGCTTTTGCATCCCAACTCCAGTGAGAAGCCCCTGTGAGGCTCTCTCCTGTCCTGGGCCACAGAGCAGTGACTCACCACGGATATAAACTCAAGTGAACTGTCCAGTATGCTAACGTCTGGTACTACAGTCCCCAGTGCCCCGTGAGGCAACTTACAGTGAAGAGAGGAGGGTCTTTGGAGTGTGGGTGGAATCCTTTCTGTCGACAAGAGGAGATCTCCTCCAGGCCGTGTTCTGTCAGCTTGAAAAACCCTGTCCTAGAAATAAGCACAAACTTCATAAAGTTCAAGCCTCTGCAAGCAGAAACAGCTGCTTGTGCACTTCAAGAGCATGTTTGAATCTGCTTGTCTCAAGCACGAGACCCCACACGCTCTGCAAGGCACTCCTCTGGCAGCTTTGTGGCTGCAGCGCTGCTCCCTACCACATCTGGGCAACCACACTTACTCCTGGTACTTTGGAGAACACACAATAGCAATGGACTCTGGCAGCATCATCTGGTAGGAGCAGTGTGTGTGCAGGTCGACGCTGGAGAGGAAAGCTGTCTGCGTGGGGTGAGTCTGAAACACAGGGTAAGAGAAGAGAGAACACCACAGCAGGTTTGGATGGGTTTTTTCACTTGGCATCTGCCAAGTGGAACAGTAAAGAGGCACAGCTCCTCAGATGGCACAGAGGACTTGCTAACATGCTGAAAGTTGTTCTGGATTGCTCCAAAACATCTGCTCCTCCTTTGCATTTGGAAAGAGGACAGGAGAAGCTCTACTTTTCTGGCCACATCCCTTGCAAACTATATTGTAATACACAGCATTTTCCTTGCCCTAAATGCAGGGCACCCTGCAGGGCAGTCACCTCACACGCTTCTGAAGTGCAGCTATCTCAGGGCACAGCATCACCAGATGCACAACATATCACCACGACATTCCAAGAGACCACATCCCACGAAGATGGCAAAGCTTTTAAAAATCACAGACAACATCCAACGCACTCAGCTCCTGCTGAGAGATTTCATAGCCTCACTCTGGCACAAAGGCCTTTCCTTCTTCCCCTGTAAGGCTTTCATTGCCTTTTTTGTAGCAGAAAGCTCCAAGGGATTCCCAAGGGTGCCTGGATGTTGCGGGGCCATCACTGAAGAGTTAACACTGACAGCAGACACCCGCACATATCAGGCACACTCAGCAGGCATTTATTTGTCAAAGTCTGCAAAGCAGCTGCTGCTTTCGAGAGATTACTCAGCAGCACCAAACGTTTTGCTTGGCACACATCCGACTGCCAAAGGCTCCACGGGGACAGGCAGCAGGGAGCCAGAGGAGGAATCTGGAGCTGGCACACCCTGCGGCAGAGCAGCACACAGCTGTCTGCAAAAAGCTGTGTACTATAGGGACACATCACTGCAGAGGCCATGCACCGACAGCAGGAGCTCCAGACAGAAGGCTGGGATGTCCTAAGTCTGCTTTTAGCCCAGTGTCCCACTTCTAAAGGGGTCAGTGTTCTAGGAAGGGATCTGAACCTCCAACAGGTCTGAATTACTCAAGCAACACAAGTTGTGAGCATGACTGCATCACAGAGGAAAGGATGCAGATAATGGCAGGACAAGGGGAAATGGTTTTAAGTTGAGGAAGGGAAGATTTAGTTTGGATGTCAGGGGGAAGTTCTTTGCTATGAGAGCAGTGAGGTGCTGGAACAGCTTCCCAGAGAGGCTGTGATGCCCTGTCCATCCCTGGAGGTGTTGGAGGCCAGGTTGGATGGGGCCCTGGGAAGCCTGGGCTGGTGTGAAGTGTGGAGGTTGGTGGCCCTCCGTGCGGCAGGGGGTTGAAGCTTCGTGATCCCTGAGGTCCCTTCCAATCCAACCCATTCTATGTTCTATGATGCTGACAGCTCCACACCAAATCCTCCATCAAATCCTCCTCCCCCAGCCCATCTCCCCACACCCCTTTCCTTCCCAGCTCAAAGCAAGGTCAGACTGGAAGTGAAGCAGGGATGAGAGGCTCACATGGATCCAGCCGAGTGTAACGAGGCCATGCTGGTCCTGGATCAGGAAGAGTTCCTCCTCATTCTCTGTGTTGCAATAATCAGGGCCTCCATATTGCTTGGGAATGATGACGTGGGTTATGGTGAACTCGTTCCTCATCTGCAAGGCAGCACAGGGAGGCTGTTACCCTCCAGAAACGCCCCCCAAACAGGAAATCTGCTGCCGCCCACTGGTGCAAAGGTAATTTCCTAAGCTTTGGGAATGAAGCATTTCTGTGTTCATCACTCAGGGGCCCAGCAAGGGGAAGAGCAGCTCTACAAACAAGCCTGAGTGCATCTACCATCCACGGTAAGGGAAACTGTATGGTAACTGTATCTGAAAAAGGAGTCACAGATTCAGTCCGAGTCAGCCTGTGGCTGTTAGTTCATCTTCTCTGTGAGCACCCACAGGAGCTCAGCCCCACACTCCCATCTGAAGGAAATCTCTGCACTCACTCAGAGCTTGTGTCTCATAATTAAATAGTCACTGAGTATCCAGAGGGAACCAGATTGCAGAAAGTTGCTACATCAAACTATTTCATTTCAAAGGAAACTTCAGTGAGCAAAACAGCCCCAGATGACAAAGGAGAGAGGCTGGAGCTGCCAGCAGAAACCTCTGCACACAAAACTGCCTTCAGCCTGTGCTTGCACAGCCTTGTCTTGGTGAGGGTCCTGGCTCACAGATGGGACTCATGGCAATCAGAGAGAGGAAGCTGAACACTCACAGGAACTGCTGGCTGTCACTCCACATTGAGGCACATTTCCTTACACACAGACTGAGGAAACCTTTGGGTTAAAAGCAGAGGCAGCCTGGCCCCTACACTCCTATGAAATCATCAGTGAAACTGCACTCTGGCAGAGTCCTCCGACCACTTCCAAACCTATTCTACTTAAGGAAAAGGCCTCTGTCCTGCTTCCAGGGGCTTAATTACTATTATCATCTTACCAGCTTACCACAGAGGATCCCACAGGTCTCCACACCTCGGGCTGTGTTAGCATCAGCCAGCTGGAGGAATTTATGGCACAGCTCTCTGGGGACAATGACCTGGCGAAGGGCTTCCATGCCTGCAGCTGTGGGGAGAATTGGGAGCACAATGAGCAATGATAGCCAGTGCCACTGGAGAGGTGTTTCCTCAGTCCAGACCTAGAGGGACTAGACAGAAAGAAATCAGCCTGGAAACATTAACTGCTCTGCTAACTCTAATGCCTACTCCTCTATTGGCAGTCACAGGTAAATAAAGTCACAGTGACACTCCATAAAAGACAGTCAATACCTCTTTCAAAATAAGGAAAGAGATATGTAGAAAGAAAATAGGTTTAGAATTCTATTAGTATGTGTTTGGCTGAAGAAAACGAAAACACGAACACTCATAAAATGTCACTTAAAAGTAAGATGTTTCTCTGGTTAAGAACCAGTTGTTTAAAAATGTCTGGATTGCTGTTTTGGATCTATACTTGGCAAAAGAGGAGAGTTCAGTCAGTCTAGCCAGGAATTAAGCCCCAATCTCCAAAAAGTATTTGGATCTAGGAAGGTCAAAAGCCAAACAGGTTGTAGATTTTAGGTTAGCAGAGAAAGACTGAGGCTGGGTTATTAGAAAACAGTTTCTCTCCAGCCTGCAAACCTTTGCTGGACATTGGGGAGAGCACCCCCAGTAGCCCGAAGGACCAAATCCCCAGAAAGAATGGAGATCTGATGAAACAGTTCCAAAAGCCTCTCAGACAGCTCAGCTCCTTGGCTCTGTTTGGCTCAGCCCCCCAGAAAGGGAGAAGAATGCACAGGAGATGTACTAACTGTGTTCTGTGCTCCCCAAAGCACAAGGTTTCAAAGATCTGTCCACAACAGGAGGTTTGGCTGAGACAGTCCCCCCTGATGGACTCCCAGAGTGAAGTGGAGAGACAGGAACCCTTGGGGTTAAATCAGTAGGTGGCTTTTCCATGCCAGGGATGAGGGGTCCATCCAGAGACTCAGCACTTGGCTCCGGCTTTCCAAATTCCTGCACTATCCTCAAACGTTCCTTTTCCAGCTCCTGTCGTCGAATCATCTCCTCAAAGGCAAGAAACTGCTCTTGCTCTGCCTGCTGCTGCTTCATTAAGGCTACACGATTTCTTTCCTCTTCTAACTGCTGCTGCAAAGCCAAGTTCCGTGCATCTTCCTCTTCCTTCTCTTTCTGCAAGACAAAATACACCAAAGGACATCAGCAGACTCGAAGGACATCAGCAAATATCACTCCTTTAGAACTGCAGCTTCCAGCCTGCTTGGAGACCCTCAGCAACCACAGACCATCCGTAAATGGTCTGCAGAGATTAACCAACAAGATGTACTTCTGCACAGATCAGCACTTCCATCAGAAAACCAGCCAGACCAGAGCAGTAAACTGCTGCCTCACCCAGGCTGTTGTGTGGGAACATGATTCTAGATTGATTTCTCTCTCTTCTCTCCAAAATAGCATTTTCATAAAGCAAAACTGACTGCAGAGCTTTCTGCTTCGCCCACAGAACCCCAGATCCCTGCTCATACTGTCATGAGGCATCTGCAGAATTTCTGAGCCATAAGACCTCACACACTGAAATAAAAAGAAAGCCAAATAAATGTCCCAGCTCAGACTGCAACAAAATGAGAGGCAGGGACACCTGTGACAAGTTCACCCACGTAATGACAGCAGAGACAGCGCCATGCTGCAGCTGATGAGGATGGACTCCGAAAGCTGGGGCCTCCCAGAGTTCATCTTTCAGAGTGCTCAAGGAGCCCTGGAGACCCCTTCCAACCCCTTGGTGGCTGAGAATGGAAACCCTTCCAAACCTTTTGAGGCTCTGCACGCTTCCCAAGAAGCAGAAGCCTCCAATCTCCTCTCACTCACCTTCTGCTCCATGTACTTTGTGTAGTCCTTCGCGTACCTCTGTAATAGCTCCTTCTTGAGGACTTCAGCTCTGGGAAAGGCTATTTCCTTCAGCTTCTGAAGGGAAGAAACACAATTCTAAGTGCAAGAGCACCAAGGCAAGAAAAGCAGGCCCAGAATGGATGAAAGAAGCAATAGATTCTTGGAGAAAATAAACCCCAAAGCGTTTTCAACAGCAGCCACTGAAGACTTGGAACATTACTGCTTACTTTCATTGTCTCCTTCCTTTCAGGTACGACGGCAGTTTTGTAATCACGATGCTTTGGCAGCTTCTCAATGAAGAGCCTATAAACACAGGAGAGAAACCTGAATTTCTGAATCCCAGCAGAATGGTGCCAGCAGAAGGAAACGGCATTTGGGGGGGTATGTATCATTTGCCACCAGCACAGCATCTCTGCTCTGCCACTTCCCTGAGCCCTGTGCAATCAGGATGGCTGTCTGCCTTTCTGCAATCAACTCTCCACCAAACAGTGGCTTTCTGAGCTCTTTGTGGCATGCAGGGTTCTTGCTCAGCCCCAGGAGAGCACCTTGCATAGGACTTTTCTCCCATCTGGGCTTTGGTGATGATCCTCTGGGTTAAATACTTCCTTAATTTTTATTTTTTTTTCAGAAAACCAGTTTGATAAACCAGTCTAAAACCATTGATAAACCAGTCTGAAACACCAAGGATTCTCTCAGTGTTTCAGGAAGGACTTGGGCACCTGCCTTCACCTCTGAGAACATCCAAAGGGAGAACAGACAAGCTCAAGGACTCATCTTAACTCAGTGCTCACACAGTCCTGCATGGGGGGAGAGAGTTTCTGCAAGGGAAGGAGAAATTAACTCAGACCTTTAATAGGAAACCTGAAGAAAGGCTGTGCACAACCCCACGAGGTTAGGGCAATATTTCAAGCCTTTTCCTAGGCAGCAGTGCTGGTTCTAAGCAGATTTCTGGGAGAGAAACTCAAGACTGAGCTCGATATTACCTCGCTCCCAGCACAGATATAAAGAGATTAATTTGTGGTTTCTATACAGATAAACCTGCACCAGAATAGAAGCTCCTCCTCCTTCCAGGGTGCAGCTTAGGACACAGGAAAAGAACACTGCAAGTATAGCATCAAGGTGGGAAGCCCACAGACACAGGGCCGTGTTCTCAGCACCACGGTGCTTCCCAGGCTGCAGGCATCCCATCATTACCCCCAAGTGTGAGTCCAAACCCAATGCTCCCTGAGCAGCTCAGAGCTGTGCCCACTGCCCAGGGGAGCTGTGCCATCCCCTCCACCCTCCAGTGCAGAACCTCTCCCTCACCCCCACCTGCCTGTTGCAGCTCTGTGCCATTCCCTCAGGCCCTGTTGCTGTCACCAGAGAGCAGAGCTCAGTGCTGTCCCTGTGCTTCCTGTGAGGAGCTGCAGCCACCACGAGGCCTCCCCCCACTCCCTGTGCTGAACAAACCAAGGGACCCCATCTCCATAGCCTTCCTTTGGATGCTCTCCAAGAGTTTTACGTCCTTCTTGTATTGTGGTGCGCTCAGGGTGTGTGGTGAGGCTGCACCAGTGCAGAGCAGAAGGGGAATAAGAGCAATGAGCAGGGACAGAGCAGGGAGCAGATCCGTGTGCAGGCAGAAGGAAGAAGAGTAGAGAGCACAGCACAAACAAGCCAAGCAGAGCCAAGTGGGAAAGCCACGGTGTGAGCAAAGAGCTTTCCTCCTGCTGTGAAACCACTGCATGTGCACTAAATGAACCCATCTGCTTTAAAACCCAGCCCTCTGGGAAAAGGAAGACCTTCTCACAATCCCAGCCCTTGGTTGTACTTGTGGTTACCATGGAGAGCATGAGGATGCCAGAGACCGCGGGATCAGCACAGCCATGGCACGGAGAAGCTGTGAGGTCCCTGCTTGGGGCTGGTGGATGCAAAGTAGGTCACTGTGTCAAGGAGACAAAACAAGGCAGTGATCACTGCCAACAGATTGAAGATTAAAATGGAAGGGATTCATTAAGAAGGATTAAGAGCAGATGCTAGCCTGGGGAAGACACAAGAAACAGCAGAGGCAGCTGGCTTTCCAGAAGGCACGAAGGGGAACAGCGAGCAGTGGGGTGCAGGGAGGACCTCAGGCAGCCAGAGGAAAACCTTGAGAGAAGATCAGCAGCAGGCTGAGGAAGGAATAAGGAAGGAATAATTCTCTGAATAAGAATGCTTCGCATTTCCTACCCACAGCCCAGATGAGGCTTGGCAAGGCTTAAACCCTCAGCCCCCATCACCAGAAGCTTTGGGTTGGTTCAAACCTCTGCCTGTTGCGAGTCTGCTGTGAACGGAGCGGCTGCTTGGCACTGAGCAGCCACATCGTAGGCTATTTTTAAGCACTGCTACAGCACACATGCCAAACCAGTGTCTCTCGAGTCCCTTTACACCCCTCACAAACCCTTGGAGCCAATCCTAGCAGCTCGCAGTCACACGGACAAACCAGGAATCCACATCTCCCAGGAAATTCGTCTCACGTTTCCCTGCTCTGCTCTGCCTTGGCTCAAAAAGGCTCCAGCAAACTCCTGCTTCGAGAACAAATCCATTCTGAATGGTGCAGAAGCTGATGATGAAGAAAAACAAGCAGATGTCTTTCAAAGTGACAGCACTGACATCTGTAAAGTGCAGCCTGGTTGTTCTTAGAGACACTCGTGCCTCCCTCCTGCCCACTGCGGGATGGGCACGAGCTTCATTTCAGCATGGGAAACAGAAACACTGAAAACACGTCGAGATCAAGTGGGAGACTGAGCACCAAGAATGGAACTGGCTGCCTCAGTGGGAATCTCAGTGTAGATCTACCCTCAGATTATCCCATATCGATCGAAAATCCTCCCCAAACAAATGGCTCTCGCTCAGGTGTCACTACCTGAGGAGTTCCTGCAGGGAAATAAAGGGACATCCAGCTTCCCAAAGCCGTGCAGTCGACACAAAGCCAAGGACTTGCTCCTGAGGACGGCACGTTTGCTCCTAACAAAGACACCACGTGCAGAGCTGTAGCCAGGAGCCTCTCACACACTTCTCAGGGCTGAAGTCCTCCTCTTCACAAAGCTGCAGCCTGCACTAGTTCATTCTTTCCTGCTGGGGAGCTGAGGAGAGGCAGCCAAGCCCAGAGTCACACCAGTGACCACGGATTTGGGCTGAAGTAGCCAGAGAGAGGGGTGGGAATAAATCAAATCCAATTTCTAGAAATGGGAGAGCAGAGCAAGCTCCACCAGAGACTCCAGTTACAGTGCTTTGCTCTTGCCTTTCAGATCACAGTCTCAGGGAAGCACACCTCAAACAACGCTCTGCCAAGCCTCTCACTTCCACAAGAACATTACTCTTCCATTTAAAGAAATGAGATGATGGCATTAACTTTGTATCTTCAGATAATGCAAGCTGGCAGCTCATACTCATCAACATGAGAAATCACACCACCAAAAGGGAAAGCTTTTCACCTTTCCTGCAGCCTGAGAACCAGGCTAATGTAAATGCCACAGGCATCTGAAAGTTGCTGGAAGAACAGCAAGCCAGCATCTAGCATTGCTGTAATGAAAGAGCAAAGGCACGTTTCGTTCATTTGTTTAGTTAAAGAGCTTCTCCTTCAGCCCCAGCTATGTAACCAGCCTGGAAACCTTCCCGATGCTTTTACACTTTGCAGCTCCCTACGCAGCGACAATGACCATAAAAGCTCAGGAAGTGCAGGGCGGGAAGAAAAGCTAATCAGAGAAAAATGTGTTGGGTTGAAGGAGGCTGGGGCAGGAACCCTGTGCACACAGGCAGGCAAGAAAGGAAAACACCCATAGAAATGCCAAGCTCGATCTGGATACTTGGGTAGAACAGCAGAAAGGAGACTCGACCCTCTGGTGAGTGAGAATGGGAGGATTTGGGGCAAAAAGCCTGAGGGAACAGGATACTCAGTGCTGCCAGGGTATTTCCTGAGCATCACTACTTTCAGCCCTTTGAACACAGCAAGAAACACACGTTTGCACCACTCGTACTCCGAGCTGCCCAGGCAAAAGCAGAGCTGCTGCCACGTCACTGCATCGGCACGGCGCACGCTCTGCTCCGCAGCGTGGCTTTCGGACCCAAGATGGTTTGTTCCCAGCCAGCCCTGGAGGTGACAGCAGGAACAACTCCACGCTTGTCCACAGCCCCTGTGTTGGAGACCCAGCAGCTGTGATACCAAACAGGGTCTTGGTGGGTTTATATACAACCTCTGGCTTTTCAGAAGAGTGTTCAGAGCCTGGACATCTCACGTACCGTCCAAGTCAGAAGACTGGGGTCAGGTTGTTCAGATCTGGGACTCTTTTCCTCATGCCCTTCCTCAGAAGGGTCTGGGTGCAAATATACCTGCACGGTGTGTGTGGGGAATTACACTATTTTCTAGAACAAAACCGCCAGTGCTGCACAGCTGATTTCTGTGCTGAAGGTGAAACGTGGTGACTGCTGTAAAAGGTTGTGGTAGCTTAAACATAAAGAAAGCTTCTCCTCTGAAGCTGGTTTATCAGAGAACCACAACCAGCCTTCATCTCCTGATATTGTGACCTTTGACCATGGATGCCTGCCAATCCATTTGACATCACAGTTCTTGAGATCAACCTAACTGCTCCACAGCAATAAAACACCAGGAAATTTTTAAATAAAAGAAGCCAACACCTTCCTCCTGCTGACAGAGCTATATAAGGTCAGTCTGATCTCAGGGAATTTTTTACTGGCATTCTGCAAAGCAATGAGCAGTGCTTGTACCTTGCACCTTTACAATGTGGTCACCCTAACCAGGTCACCTGTATCAGTTCAAAAGGAGCAAAGCTCTGGACAGAACCTGGTTCTTCCAGCTCAACAACGTCTGTACACACTCAAAATAACCAACTGAAACCCCACAACCCCTTGCATCAACACAACTTAATTGTAAGCAAAGTAGAGCTGCTCTTACGTGATGTACTTGTTGTACAGGATGAAGGCATGCTCAATATTGCCCTCCTCTGAGTAAATGGTGGCCATGCGGAGGATTTCCACGCCGGAGCGATAGTAGCGCCGCAGTGGGACATCCTCACTCACTTCCACAGCACTCCCCACCCGGATCAGGCTTTGGACACGCTCCTGTGGTGGGAGGCTGACATCAGCATGGTTGGACATAACGAGGCACATCAAACCTGCCGCAGCGCTGAGCAGCTCTGCAGTGGGAGAAAAGCCGAGGGAGTCAAAACCACCACAGAACAGGTTATGTGTCTGGTTTCCCTGACAGAAATCATCCCCCCAGCTAATGCAAAGGTCAGGAGGTCCTGAGGGAGAAATGTGGGAGAAGCCAGGCTCTTTTTGGACACAGCACTTGGATATAAACCTTTACGACCTGAAACGCGGCCATGAGCTCAAGCTCATTCCTTGGGTAACCCATCTCAAGCTAAGGTCTGAGTGATGCGAATCCTACCCAAAACAGCTCCTCCTTTCTCTTCGTCTCTCTGTGCAACACGAGTGCCAGCCATTGATTTGGGGTCAGTCGGCCAACACGTTTTCCTTGGACGTGAGCAGCAGCAGCTTTACACAGGGTTCCTACACTGCACACCCCTGATCGCTCACGCGGTGGTGAGGAGAGCTGCAGGCCGTGCTCCCAGGCACTGCTGTTGGGCAGAACCGCCCCTGTCCGTCAAGCCGGCTCCCAGTTGGTCTCATTCGGACTCAGACTGCTCTGCGCCGCAGAAGGCACCGCTGTCACCCCAGGAACGCCCCCTCCCCTCTCCCTTTCCCACAGTGCCCCAAGAAAGGCAAACGAGTCGCCGCCGAGCTGCTGCCGCCCCACCCCGCTGCCCCCTGGGAAGCATCTCCAGCCCCACAGCCGCCACGGCAAAGATGGTGGAGCGGCCCGCCGCCCCCAGGACCCCGCAGCCCTTCACGCCCAAAGCGGAGCACGAAAGGTGACCGGACGCTCCCAGCGGAGCACCCTCCCCTCCCCCCCGGAGCGGGAACGGGCGGTAGGGCCGAAACGGGGCACGACCTGCGCCGGGTGGACAGCCGCAGCCTGCACGCAGCGCTTCCGGGTTGACGCCGTGACCCCGCCCCCTGCTGTTTCAGCACCCAATCACGACTCCTCGTCACATCCGGGCATCTCGCAGCTGCATCATGCTTCCGCCCGGCCCAGCGGCTGCCATTTTGAGGCCGGGCGGAAGTTCGGCGTCGTTACGCCAGAGGGGCGACGAGCCTTAAAGGGGCCGCTCTCAGTCCGGGCTCAAGGCTCACACCTGCAGGGCTTCTCGCCCCCACCGGGCTGGAGAAACTGGCCCAGAACATACATTTAGAATGTAAGCAGGGCACAAGTTTACTCTAGCAAATGTGAGTGAAAAAATAATAAAAAAAAAAGTCACCTAGCTTCAGGCCAAATCCTATTTCTTCACGTGTATTAAGAAAATGATCAACAAAAGCCCTTTTGTGGAAGGTAAAAGAGATGCTCCTGATGATGTTTCTTTAGAATTAATCCAGTTCCATTTATTCCCTCCATCACTTGAGAAACGGAGCCAGGACTGCAGAATATCACATAGCAATTCAAAAATTCTGAGTCAGTTGTCAAAAGTAGACACAGGAGAGTGTAAAAAAGGGGGAAAAAAAAAAACAACAAGAGAAAGAAGAGAGCTGTGCTGATCTCAAGAACATCTCCATCCACTTGCAGTTCCCACCACCCAGCTCAGCTGCTGGTGGATGTCACAGTTCACTCAGTTTGGAGCCTCTGCGCAACTCCTTTGTGGAAACACAGCCCTGAGTGGACGCTGCTGTGCCTCTCAATTCTGCCATACGTTTCTTACGCCGCCGCCGCCGGTGCTTCCTGGCCACATGTATCTCCTGTGGTTGTTGCTGGAGGGGACTTGGAGCTAGGAAGCACACTTCATTGCGCTGCATGTTGTAAGGCAAAGAAACTGGACAGTTCCTCGGACCCAAACTGCAAGGCCACCTTTTCTCAGCCATCCCAGGTTTGTGCACAAGCTCCTGGCGTTGTTCGGGCACTCCGTGATGTCGCTTTTTCTTCTTTTTGGCACAGCCAGAATTCCTGAAAGAAGATTTGGAAGTCAGTACCTGGAGAATTCAACCCCCTCCTGTCTCTCCCAGGTTCTGCTGAGGAGTTTTGGATCCTTTCAGCCCTGTGGCTCAGTCCCTTTTGCCTCAGACTAAAATGTGCAACACGATGTCGGCTCATCTCCTAGACGCTGCTTTCTTACAGCTGTGCAGCATCAAAGGCTGCTTCCAGCAGGAAGCATTTTGTACACTCAGCAGAAGCGGGGCTGAAGAAGCCACTGTCCAACAGCCAGCGGGCACTGATCCCAGCAGATGGCTTTGTAGCCCCCACACCATCCAGTGGAGGCCAGACCAGGGCATGTGACCCAAGCAAAGAAGCAGCTCTTTAGCTGCTCCCCTACCATCCCTGCCAGATGGGGTGACAGAAGAACAGCTCCCACTGACCCAAACGAAGTGCTCTTGTCCCTGAAGTATCTCACAGTTTGAGAACATTGCAGCTCTGCCAGGAACTAACCTACACTGTAAGGAATGCCACTCCACATCTGCAGTGTGTTATTCAAAGGCAAAGAGCTTCATGCTGCTGCAGACACGAGGAACACTTCAGCATTAACAAGACAGAGGGACGATCCCCTGCCTCCACAGCCCCTAGAAATGGCAATGGACGCTCTCTTATATGTAGTGAAGTTGCATCTAAACTTGTGAAAACATGAGTTTAAGTTACTTAAGGAGGAAAAAAAGAGCTTTTTTTTGTTCTATCTGCTCAGCTGTACAGTAAGCACAGAGGAAAGAGGCAAAAACCCACCTGGATGGTGTTAACAGGAGGTGTTCTGGACGCTGTGGGTGATGTTCTGCCTTCTGCTTTCTACTGTTCAACACAGTGCCCACTCTTCCTTTGAGGGGGACTGACCCCAAATTCTTCATTTCACGTTTCCTTAAACAGAACTCTTGGTCACAGCTGGGCTCACAAACCATTCATCGAGTGATCACAACAGCTCTCTCACGCTTCAATCAATCCCTTTCAAAACTCCCAAGGAAGGCAGCTGGTCAGGCCGTGCAGATCTGTAACCCCACGTGTCCCAGCTTCCCACCTTCTTCCTCATCCCAATTCCACCCTACCTCAAGCAGCAGCAGTCAGCCAAGCTTAAAATCTAACTATTGCAGCTCTCGTTATGTGTGTGTGCACTCACATTCCAGATCTTCTCCGGAGATCTTCAATGTAGTTCATCCTCTCGATGGGGTGCCCTCGAGCTCTGTTGAACACTGGAGAAAGAAAGGTCTGAGTTCTAACAGCACTCCAACGGAACGAGCGCAAGCCCAATTAAAACCAGAAGCCCACAGCAAGTATTTTGTATCTTGACAAGAAGGACATACATGTACGTACACTCTATTGCGGCGTTGGGCTCCATGCCTTCAACGTCAATCAGGTACCTGAGCAGACCAACAAGACAGCTCTAATCACACAAGTAACCCCAAAGACATTTACAGATCAGAGACAATTCAAAACCAAGTGGGAATTTTTTAGAGCTTCTGTTCACAAGCCAAATTTGAGTATCAGCATTTTGTTGCCTCTTATTCCCGATTTCAACAAATCCCTGCAAACATCTTTTCTAAGCTCACGAGCTTCAGGTCCTTGCAGGCCTTGGATTACACACTTTTACTGCTGAAACTGCCAGCACCCCCACTTAATGCCCTCTGACCGCAGACAACTCACCTACAAACCAGGTAGCCAGTTCTGTTTAAGCCATGTGTGCAATGCACTCCAATGAGTTTATCTGTAACAAACAGCAACCAGGTCATATTTTTGCAGTGTTGCTTTTCCTAAAACCAAGTCAGAGCAAAGCAAGCTCGACATTTGTCCTCCAACAGTCACAAGTGTAAATAAACTGAAAGGATCGTGCAACAAAGTCCCATTTGTGGTTGGTGATCACAGCTGATTTGGCTCACTGGCTCATTTCACCCCATATCTGCATGGTCACACAGCTCTCTGCAGGGAGGACGTTTTTCAAAGCTCTATGAAAGGCTACCCCACATTTCCCAAGCACAAACAGCTCACTGTTCACACCACTGCTCATCAACTATCACTGCTTACAGCGAGCCTACAGACACAGTCCCTGTCTCAATTAACACATGACCCACTGCTACTTCTCAGCCAGCATGAACTCCTCCACCTCAACAGACTGATCTCATTGCTTCGACATTCAAACACCAAGTGGAGGAAAAGAAATCCATGCTGTGCATGAAGGTTAAATGAGAACACCAATCTCCAAGGCTACACTGCCCTTCCCATAGACAGCACTGGGTAACAGAAGGGAAATTCACATTACCGTTGTCTTTGTTGTCTCTCAAAAAGTTTTCCACAACACACTTGAATTGAAAAATAGTCTGATTGTTTGGTATTTCATGTCCCATTGTCAGGATCTTTGAATACCTGAGTGTAGCTGGCAGCTCCTACAAGAAACAAAGGAGGACAGTAGTTACTCCACAGTTCTCACCTGGTAGAGAACTGCTGACGAACAGATACAACAAATTCGCATTCCAACTGAAACCAAAAGAGCAGCAACAGTTTTAGGTAAGACGACTTCACCCCTTTAACACATTGCCAGTATTTCAGAACAACCCACTTGTGCTTTCACTCCTTCCACCCTGAGAAGGACAAAGCACTGAGGTGGGAATAACTTTTCCTGTACATATCTGCACATTTAACACCATGAACCAAAAACCACTGTAATCAGCTTCTTGTTCAGCCCACAAAAACACCCTTAGGGTATCCAAAAACCTGTGGTGGTAGAAAGAGAAGGGCTAGAGACCTCGGTGTCACACCTGATCAAATACAAAGACTCCATCTCAACCGCTGTGAGATGCTTCCCCGCATTCCCTTGGAAGGGAATTGAGGCGTTTCGTGCTCTTTAAAGTTACCTTCTCACAAAAATCATCCCACTCTGCAGCAATATCAAGGTTTAAAAAGACCATTTCTCTCCCCTGTGCAGAGTCCAACACTGACCTCTGGTCCGTAGTAGCGCGTTGTGTACGTCAGGTCAATGATGAGGCCCAGTTCTTCTTTCTGCTCTTTGATTTTCTCAATGAGGTCACAAGGCGAAAATCTCTCCTCTGGATGAAGGTTCTGATTAAAGCTCTGAAGGAAAGCAACATTCAGCAGCAAATGTCAACCACAGCTTCACTGTGACTGGTGAACTGCTACGCCTCCCCAGCAATCACAGAATCACAGAATGGCTTGGGTTGCAAAGGACCGCAATGCTCATCTGGTTCCAACCCCCTGCTGTGTGCAGGTCACCAACCAGCAGCCCAGGCTGCTCAGAGCCACATCCAGCCTGGCATCGAATGCCGGCAGGGCTGGGGCATCCACAGCCTCCTTGGGCAGCCTGTGCCAGTGCCTCACCACCCTCTGGGTGAAAAACTTCCTCCTCATATCCAATCTAAACCTCTCCTGTCTCAGTTTAAAACCATTCCCCCTTGTCCCATCACGATCCAACGTCTATCCGTCATCCGCCATCTGCTCAGGGATGAAAGAAACAACGAAGACAAATCACTGAACTGTAGGGATTGGAAGGAACCCGTAGAGATTTCAGCCCACAGCCCAGCCTGATCGGGCTTTGCATTGGGACGATCCGGGCACGGACGGCCCCTGTCCTCAGCTCCTGGTGAGCGCAGCCCCGAGGGAGCAGCAGCCGTGAGTGACAACGCGGCCCGCGGTGCTGCTCGCCGCTCCCCCTCAGCACCGCGACCCCCGGGGCGGCCCTCGGCCCCCGCTCACCTTCCTCAGGGGCACTTTGAAGGCGATGAAGCGGGTGCCCGGCAGCCTGCGGCCCAGCGGGACGTAATCGGTCCACCTGCAAATAGAAGCGGAGGGACGTTAGAACCGCAGTTGGGGCAGCCCTTTCGCAACGCCGTGCGGAGCAGCCCGTGCTGCACTCACCGCTCGGGGACGCGGGAACGGCCGCGGCCCGGCATGCTGACAACGGAACGGAGACACGGCCGTGACTTCCGCTTCCACCACTTCCGCTTCCGCCGCCATGACCTCGCGCGCCATCCGTCTGCGTGACGTCATCAGGAGGAGCCGAGATAGCTGCAACCACAGCTCCACCTGGCGGAGCGGGGCGGGAACCTCTGCAAGAGCTCTGCCGGGATTCCTCCCAGCCCCTGCGCTTTGTGACAGACAGATGGGTGAAAGCAGAGAGCCAGCAGGTGGAAGTTTGGTGGCTTTCAGAGACAAAGCACCGCAGCCCTGCGATGCCACTGGCCGTCAGAGTGTCATCAGTCACGTCCCTGCCTTCGTGTCCACTCACTGCAATGGGAGCTGAGTTGGCTGCACCCGCAGGGATGGGGCACCCGCAACCTCTCTGGGCAGCAGTGCCAGGGCCTCAGCTCCCCCTCTGTGAACAACTTCCCTGACATCTAAACCAGATCTCCCCTCCTTTACGTCCAAACCATTCCTCTTTGTCCCTATCACCATCTCCCTTGTGCAGCGGGGGCTCCCTGCAGCCTTCTCTTCTCTGCGCTGAACACCCCTGGCTCCCTCAGCCTTTCTCCATAGCAGAGGCGCTGCAGCCTCTGAGCGAATCACCCAGAGAAAAAGCTTTTCTTTTCTCATTTGGGATCGCTGTAGGGCACACAAGAGGCAAATTTCCCATCTGAATGCACAGCCTTGGCTTTGCTGAACCTCCACCCCACAGCCCGTCCTTTGCACCCATCTCTGTCTGGCTCAGAGGGAAGGAAGCGGTGCGGGACCACATGGAAGGCCTTGCACAGCTCCAGGGAGACGACATCAGTTGCCCTCCCGTTGCCCATCACTGCTGTCACGGCATCCCAAAAAGCCACCAGATGGGTCAGGCACGATCTGCCCTCGGTGCTGCCGTGCTGGCTGGCACAGATCACTTCTCCATCCTCAGCTGCCTCAACATCTCCTCCAGGAAGATCTGCTCCATCACCCCAAATACACCCCAAAAACATGAGGTTTCCAAGACTTACGCCCCAGGCAGGTGTAGCGTGGAAACCTCTCACCCTGAACAGAAGCCAATGTGGGGACTGGGGGCATTTTCCCCCCTGTGTCCTGCATGGATCAAGCAAGCTCTCACACAGTTGGGGAATGATGTTGTTATTTATTGATGGAATACAAGACTGGAATTGAAATCTGGACAGCCACAGTGGATGGCAGCAGCGGCTGTCCAGGTGTGGGACGTGGTGCCTGGCCCCAGGGAGATTGCTACCATCCCCTGTAGGACGGGGGTGGTGGTGGAGCCCGGGGAAGAAGGGGCTTATTCCTGGTGTACATGGCCGGGCTGGGGGGCCGCGGGGGCCGCGCCGGGGGCAGCCGAGTCGGGGCACTCTTGGGCCTGGGGGGCGGCGATGGGCTGGAGCTCCGCAGCACCCGGGCAGGACGTCCTGGCACCCGTGAAGCCCGCTGGTGCCGAGACCGTCTGTGCTCATGTGCTGATTGTCCACCGGCAGCAAACCGGGCCTTGGCAGATTCCATGAGGCGCCTGCAGAGACAGGAACTGCTGAGGGCCCGGGGAGCCCCCCGCTCTCCTTCCTCCCGGCACCGCACAGAGCAGCGGGAATAAAGAGCTGGGATGGGGATGGGGGAGCAACTCACTGTTGTTTCTTCCGCCGCCGCCGGATGCAAATGCAGCAGACAATTATTAGCAGGAGAATGGGAACAAACACACCAATAGCACCTTTCAAGCAGAACATGGGGACGTCCTTAATGTAGATGCCCTTGGTGGCTTCTTCACCTCCTGCACCTGAAGGAACAATTGTGGTCACTGCTGCGCCTCCTGCCTACCTGGCGATCTCAGCAGAGCTCTGACATTGCCATGAAATGCTCCAGGAGGCCACAGACACAAAACACAACAACAGAACCTCAAGCGTCAGCCACAGAGCTCTGGGCAGGCCTCTACCTGGAGCGCCAGCTGCTGGCACGTCCTCTGTGCCTTCACGGGAGATGGGCAGTGTGTGGCTGCTGCCCTCCTGAAGCACGGCCTCGTCCACAGGCTCTCCATCGACCTCTAGAGAAAGAAGGCAGCAAAGTGGGACTGTAAATGTCTGCTCATATCTTTGTAGAACGCCAGTTTCCCGAGTCTCCCGGTGAGCAGACAGAAATGTACCCACCAGGCACTTCATTCTCCCCCGTCACTGCCTTCAGGACAGGAGCAAACCGCGGCGAATATCTTCCTCGTCCCGGTTTCTCTGTCTGTCTCGCAGGACCTGAACAGAACGGAGCAGGACACATTTCAGAGAAACCCAGTGCTGAGCTGAGCGCTCTGTTGGTGCAGTCCGTCCGGGCAGAGTACCCACCCCTGGGAGGCCAGCGGGGCTCCTGCGCGGGAGGCAGCTGCGCGTTTGGCACGGCCCTCTCTGGAGGCAGTTCTGCAACAAGGAACCACGAGAGCTTTCCGTCGTGCACCACAAGCTGTGTCACTGCGTGACGGCACAGCTGAGGAGCAGGTGGTACCCGGGGATGGTGCAGGGACAGGGCGCGCGCGTGCAGCTCTGTGCTCCCGCTCCTGCAGGCCTGGCTGACATTAGGGCTGCGAGCTGGCAGCTCGCAAAGCAATTAAAAAGCCATCACATACCCATGCCATCTGCTAGAGCTTCCGACCCCGGAGCCGGCTGGGATTCTGCACCCCATTCACTTCCACTCACATCTGTAAACAAACAGGACAGAGCAGCTTGTGTCAGACACGTCCACATACCCATCTCCAGATGGGAACAACGGCGGATCGCTCCAAAGCACCCCTCTCTCCCTTCCACGCGGCAGCATCTCAACCTGAGCTGCTGGGTGCCTGCAGTGGCACCGTGCTGATACACAGCAATCCATGTGTGGAACTGCCTGGAGACGGGGAGGGGAAGAGAATGGGAAGGGGAGCCTCCAAGGCTCTGTTCTGGCAGTGATTTACCTCCAGGTTCCACCTCAGGAACAAAAGCCGAGTCCGACCAGGCAACCGCATGAAAAGAATCAGCGTAGTCATCTAGAATCACCAAGAGATGGGAGAAGTTTCCATTAAACGTGTGCAACACCACCACGGTCCACATGGAGCAACGTGTGGCCACTCGGCCCTTCTTAGTGCAGATCTCTGATGGGCACAAAGGAAGGTGAAACCACAGCACGGGAGGAAAACGTGCCTGGCTCATCCCTTGGGCTGGGGGCCGAGGGGGACCCTGTGTTGGGAACTGGGTGCTGGCCGCCTTCCCCTGCCCAGCACGTCCCCCATGCAAGGACAGCCCCAGGGCAGCCTGCCATCTGGCCGTGGGGACGCAGCCTGACTTCTTGCCCCCCGTACCGCTCACTTTTGCTCACCCACCTGCTCCTGGTGCTTGCCACGGAGCAGCACCGACCTTACAGCAACTTGCAGCCATCAGGAGGAGGAGTATGAGACGGGCAGAGGCCATAGCTCCCCACACTCGTCCCATGCTGTCACCACCACGACTGTAGCCACAGCAAGTGCTGGCGACGGGGCGGGCACAGAGCAATGCCTGTGCCACCACGGGACTGTGTCACAGAGGAGCATTGTGACCTCAGGGCAGAGGGGCTGACCCCAGTGGTCACGGAACCCCCCACTGCCACTCTCGAGCTCCCTTGGCAGGTAAGGCAGCAGGCTGCTCTGCTCCTGGCACTGCGGCCCTCCAGGGGATCCCAGTGCCCCAGATCTCACCCAGCACCATTTGGGCATTTCCCCACAGAGAGATTTCCTTCACGGACGCTGACGGTGCTTCCGACACCCGACGCCTCGTTACTTGGATCCCTTGTGCCTCCACCGGCCACCGCTGCAATGCAGCCCACCTTCCGCAACGCAGCAGTGCCGGTGTCCTTCCAACCCCTCGCTGTCCCTAATGTCACCTACATGGTGCCTCAGGCCTCCGTCTGGCCTGGGATACCAGGCGTCCAGGGACAGGGAGTGCAGCTCCCACCTGGGGGGCTGCCTCTAATGGTGGGTCAGCTCCCAGCTGCGGGGATGCCCCAAGTTGTGGTTCAGCTGCCACCTGGGGGGCTGCCCTCAAATGTGGTTCAGCTGCCACCTGGGGGGCTGCCCTCAAATGTGGTTCAGCTGCCACCTGGGGGGATGCCCCAAGTTGTGGTTCAGCTGCCACCTGGGGGGATGCCCTCAAATGTGGTTCAGCTGCCACCTGGGGGGATGCCCACAGTTGTGGGTCAGCTGCCACCTGGGGGGATGCCCCAAAACGTTGGTCAGCTGGCACCCATGGGGCAGCAGTTACCCCTGGTCATGCGCCTACCTGCAAAGACGCAGCCAGGTATGCCTGCCCCCAGTGCCTCTGCCCACTGCTCCAAACATCCCCTGGTGGCAGAGACGCAGCAGCCCCAGCAGCCGACGGGGCAGCAGCCTGGGGCTGCGTTCCATGGGGAGCCCCTGCAGCCCGCAGGCAGCTGCCCGCTGCAGGGCCCCGACCGCCCCGGCTCCTCAACTGTCCTCCGAGGACCTCCGTCGTGCCCAAGTCCAACCGAGGCTCCGCTCACCTGCAGCAGCGCAGCGCTGGAATCAGGTGGTGAGTTTGGGGCTGCAGAGCGGGTGGCAGGCTGTCCGCACCGGGTGGCGGTGGGAAAGATGGCGCTGCCTCACTGGGGGTGTTCTTGCTTTTCAGCAGCGACAACGAGCTCAGACATCCAGGAGGACATCACTGACATCAATGACCCCCTGACCTGGATGAACAACGGTGAGTCTGGGGGCAGCAGAGCTGGCAGGGGGGCGTTTGCACCGAGCGAGTGTGGGAAAGCTGGCGTTACCCCCGTGGTGGTTTTCTTCCTCTTCCAGAAGTGGCACCCGAAACAGAGGTCCCGGATGACATCCTGGATGACATGCCGGACATGGATGAGCTCCTGACTTGGATGAACAACGGTGAGTGTGGGGGCAGCAGAGCTGGCGGGGGGGTGTCTGCACTCAGTGGGTGTGGGAAAGCTGGTGTTACCCCTGCGGGGATTTTCTTCCCTTTCCAGAAGTGGCACCCAAAACAGAGGTCCCGGATGACATCCTGGATGACATGCCAGACATGGATGAGCTCCTGACTTGGATGAACAATGGTGAGTTTGGGGGCAGCAGAGCTGGCAGGGGGGCGTTTGCACCGAGCGAGTGTGGGAAAGCTGGCGTTACCCCCGTGGTGGTTTTCTTCCTCTTCCAGAAGTGGCACCCGAAACAGAGGTCCCGGATGACATCCTGGATGACATGCCGGACATGGATGAGCTCCTGACTTGGATGAACAACGGTGAGTTTGGGGGCAGCAGAGCTGGCGGGGGTTGTCTGCACTCAGTGGGTGTAGGAAAGCTGGCGTTACCCCTGCGGGGATTTTCTTCCCTTTCCAGAAGCGGCATCCAACACAGAGATCCTGGACAACATCCCGGACATGGATGACCTGCTCACGTGGCTGAACACCAGTGAGTGTGGGGGCTGCAGAGCTGGCGGGGGGGTGTCTGCACTGAGTGCCTGTGGAAAGGCTGTCCTCATCCTTCTGGGGATGTTCTTGCTTTTTCTGAAGTGGCGAGTCCTCAGGAGGTCCCCCAGCAGAACCAGGACCCTGCTGATACCCAAACAAGGGGGACCGAAGGAACTGACACTGCAGCAGAGGAAGGAGGTCACGATGAGCTGCTGCCTGAACTGGACAGCCAGGAAAGGGAAGAGCTGCTGCGGTGGATCGATGCCACACAGCCACCGAGCCCAGAGGTCCCGAGCAGCAGAAAAACACCACCGTTCATCACAGCGCTCCCTGACTTTCCCTGGGCCAGCAGCACGGAGCGAAACGGAGAGGCAGAGGCAGAGGCCTGGATCAGGAGCGACCTGTTGTGCACACATCCATCGTGCTGCAGGCAGTCCCCCGGGCCGCTGCTCTGCCTGCCTTTCCTACTGCCCTGCAGCACATCACCAGAGCTGCCTGTGCCGACCCCCCCGGATGTCCCAGCACCTCCTTCACCCAGCACAGCACATCTGATGGAGGAGGCGCAGCAGAAGCAACCCCGGGTGCTTCTCACCCGCCTGGCACTGCCACCCGGCTGCACGTCCTGCCATGTGCCAGGCAACCACTACCAGGGTGGCACCGAGCTGGCCGAGAGCCCGGCGCCCGCCTGCACCACCAGCGGGCACCAGCGGCGCACTGGCAGCGGCCCAGCCAAGAAGAGGAAGCTGCCGCATGGCCAGGACGCTCCAGGGCAGAAACGCCGGCGCTAGGCGAAGCTGGGTGGGCTCGGCACAAACGGGAGCGTCTGCGGAAACCGGCCCATGTGCTGCAGCAGGAGGCAACCAACGGCCAACAGTTCAGGCTACCTGTAGCTCTGGGCTCCTCGCCGGCCCCGTGGCACACAGAGCAGCAGCAGCAGTGCTCCAGGGGCACCAGCACCGGCCCCAGCCCTACCTCTCCAAACCTGGGCTGTCCACCACCACCACCTTGGACTGGGACAACATGGGACTCTATTAGATCTCATTACGTTATGATATTTTATGTTATTCCATCTTCAATTACATTAAATAACATCACATCACTCAATGTTTTGTATTCACTTTGCTACATCTCTGCCTGCAGTCATTCATGCAGTCCCAAATCCCCCCAGCCAGTCTTGGGCCTGGGCAGCAGTGATGTGCTGGGGCTCCGCAGCACCTAGCCCACATGGAGCCCGCTGGTGCTGAGACCGTCCATCCTCTCTCAGCTGTGTCTGTCTGTCTGTCTGTCTATCCTCATGTGCTCAGCATTCGTGGACAGCACACAGGAACTGCTGAGGGCACGGGGAGCCCCCCGCTCTCCTTCCTCCCGGCACCGCACAGAGCAGCGGGAATAAAGAGCTGGGATGGGGATGGGGGAGCAACTCACTGTTGTTTCTTCCGCCGCCGCCGGATGCAAATGCAGCAGACAATTATTAGCAGGAGAATGGGAACAAACACACCAATAGCACCTTTCAAGCAGAACATGGGGACGTCCTTAATGTAGATGCCCTTGGTGGCTTCTTCACCTCCTGCACCTGAAGGAACAATTGTGGTCACTGCTGCGCCTCCTGCCTACCTGGCGATCTCAGCAGAGCTCTGACATTGCCATGAAATGCTCCAGGAGGCCACAGACACAAAACACAACAACAGAACCTCCAAGCGTCAGCCACAGAGCTCTGGGCAGGCCTCTACCTGGAGCGCCAGCTGCTGGCACGTCCTCTGTGCCTTCACGGGAGATGGGCAGTGTGTGGCTGCTGCCCTCCTGAAGCACGGCCTCGTCCACAGGCTCTCCATCCATCTCTAGAGAAAGAAGGTAGCAAAGTGGGACTGTAAATGTCTGCTCTTGCCAGGAGGATGACATCCTCAGCAGGTGTTACTTCTCCAAAGACAGCAGCATTTTCCACATATCTTTGTAGAACGCCAGTTTCCCGCGTCTCCTGCTGAGCAGACAGAAATGTACCCACCAGGCACTTCATTCTCCCCACAAAAAGTTCATCTCCTTCCTGTTTAGCATCTCCCTTGAAGCAGTGGGAGGCTGCAATGAGGTCTCCCCACAGCCTTCTGCCGTCTGGGCTCAACAGACGGAAGAATGGAAAGAATCAAAGATCAAGAACCAAAAACCACCCGATGTGCTCTTTCCCTTTGGGTTCCTTACCAGGGGATCGCCCTGAGCTTCACAGCGCAGATCTGGCCGGGACCTGGCGAGCCCTGTGATCGTCTCTGCGGCCCTCTTCTGAAGCCTCTCTAACAGCTTCCTGTCTTTCTTGTGTTGTTGGCCCCACACCTGGGCACAGTCCTCCAGGTAGGGCCTCACAAGGGCAGAGTGACAATCTCCTCCCTGTCCCTGCTGGCCACCCCTTTTCTCATGGAGCCCACCATACCCTTTGCTTTCCAAGCTGCAGGAGCACACTGCTGGCTCTGTGGGAATACAGGAGAAACTGCACAGGGCTGCAGAATGCTCTGCTGCCATGTAAAGGTGGATGGGAAGGTTGTGGGGCCGGATGGGACAGCTAGAAAGAGAAAACTTGTGAAGGCACTTGTGTAAGTGATGTGAGAACTCGTCATAAACGATTTGGGTCGTTCACATCTGAGCCCGTGCACCAGGCGCTGCAAATGGCGCCCACCACGTGCAGCAAACGAAGCCGAGGCTGAGCGAGCCCGGCCCGCCAGCGCCGCCCACCGAACTGCGGAGAGATTGGCGCCCGCAGCGCTCTGCAGACGGAAGGCGAGCAGTCGGGAACTGCGGGCAGTTCGCTAACGGACGAGCAGCAAGGAAATCTGGCAGCGTTACGGTTACTTTTAACGTTTCGGAACCAGCCTGTATCTACCTCAGCGTTAGTTCCTTTTCTCGAAGGGATAAGCAACAATGTGCCCGAGTCCTCCGAAAATCCTCCGAGGCTCTCTCGATGAGAGCTTTGGCACAAAACTAGCGCGAAACTCCGGGAGGCTGCTATTATTGAGACAGAACGGCTGCTCAACTTTTACCTGGTCGGCACCAAATCGCGGAAGGGCTTAAACGCATTCGACAAGGAACAATTCCTTCCGACTACTCCCCGTCCCCCCCCACGCCGCCCCCCTTCGGTGCAGAAAGCAGCCCAGCTCCGCATTCGACCCGCGGCTCCGACCCCCACCGCCCCCCGCGGACAGGAGAAATCGCAACCCCCCATCCTCCCCCCCCGCGCGCTGCTGCCCTCGGCTCCGCCCCCGGCGCTCGTCCCGCTCCCGCCGCGCCGCTGTCTGAGAGAACTGGTCCTTATGTCCGACCTAAACCTCCTGTGCTACAACTTGCGGCCATTTCCCCATGGGAGAAGAGGCCAAAGCCCTCCTCATCACGACCGCCCTTCAGGAAGCTGTGGAGTGCAGTGAGGTCTCCCCTGAGCCTCCTCTTCTCCACACTGAACAACCCCAGCTCCCTCAGCCGCTCCTCATGACCGCTCCAGACCCCTCACCAGTTTCGTTGCCCTTCTCTGGACACGCTCCAGGACCTCAACATCCTTCCTGTAGTGAGGGGCCCAAAACTGAACACAGCACTCGAGGTGCGGCCTCACCAGTGCTGAGTACAGGGGGATGATCACCTCCCTGCTCCTGCTGGCCGCACTATTGCTAATGCAGGCCAGGAAATACTGGCATGGAGGAACTCATGGGGAGGGGGTCCAGGCAACACCTCAGTCCCAGGCACAGATGGATAGGCAACAGCCCAACCAGAGTGCCTGAATTTTATGTTTTGAAAGGCCTGATGGTCGCATTGCTCACGCTGCTCCTCACATCTTGCCAGTTCCCTGGACTTTGTGGGGTCGTGATCATTTAAGTCAATGGGGCATGATTTGGCAGACAAATTTTCAGGAAGGGCCGTTGATCGGCAGCAGCCTATAGCCCTAGCTTGAAAAACAGAACAACCTGTTTGGGTAGATCAGTGGCCCTTACCACAGGACCAGTTGCTGCATTACATGAGCTGGTTCAAGAACAGCGAGCTGCAGGTCACACAGTGCCTAGTACCAGCCGCTGCAATACTCCAGTCCTTGCTGTCCTGCAGAAGAGTGGGAAATGGAGGCTTTCACAGGACCTGTGCGCTGTCAATGCAGTAATTGAGCCCATGGGGATGTTGCAGCCTGGTCTTCCTTCCCCTTCAGTGTTACCTTCAAATTGGCCGATAGTAGTTATTCATCTAAAAGACTGCTTTTTGCCATTCCACTTCACCCAAAAGACGCACCACAATTCCCTTTCTCAGGGCCCTCTGTCAACCAACAAAGCCCTGCTCAGTGGTATCACTGGACTGTGTGACCACGAGGAATGCTTAATAGTCCAGTTAGAGATGAACACAGGACGGGACCTTCAGACAGTTATTTCCAGATTGCAGGACTTGAGTTGCAGGCCAAACACGTGTTTGTGCTTTTTAGCAGGCTAACAGGATTTCTTGTCATTAGGCTATGTTTGCCTTGTCTCCTTTCTCACATTTAGAGTATGGTCAATCAAGGCCTCGATTGAGTTATAATGATTATGTTACTAATCTAGTTAGTATTGATATTTTATAGTATGGTAGTAGTTTGCGAATAAATAAGAAAGGGGAATTGTGGGAATACAAGACAAACTGTTCAGAACAGAAGCTGTCGTCTCCAGCCCCAGGGAGACTGCGACCCTCCCCTGTAGGATGGGGGTGATGGCGGTGCCCGGCGGGGCTGGGGGCTTCTGGGCTTATTCCTGGTGTACATGGCCGGGGGTTGGGGGGCTGGCGGGCCGCGCCAGGGGCAGCAGAGCCGGGGCAAACGTGGAGCCCTCTGGTGCCAAAACCGTCTGTGCTCATGTGCTGATTGTCCACGGGCAGCAGACCGGGCCTTGGCAGATTCCATGAGGTGCCAGCAGAGACAGGAACTGTTGTCATCAGTCACGTCCCTCCCTTCGTCTCCACTCACTGCAATGGGAGCTGAGTTGGCTGCACCCGCAGGGATGCAGGGGCACCCGCAACCTCTCTGGGCAGCAGTGCCAGGGCCTCAGCTCCCCCTCTGTGAACAACTTCCCTCACATCTAAACCAAATCTCCCCTCCTTTACGTCCAAACCATTCCTCTTTGTCCCTATCACCATCTCCCTTGTGCAGCGGGGGCTCCCTGCAGCCTTCTCTTCTCCGCGCTGAACACCCCCGGCTCCCTCAGCCTTTCTCCATAGCAGAGGCGCTGCAGCCTCTGAGCGAATCACCCAGAGAAAAAGCTTTTCTTATCTCACTTGGGATCGCTGTAGGGCACACAAGAGGCAAATTCCCCATCTGAACGCACAGCCTTGGCTTTGCTGAACCTCCACCCCACAGCCCGTCCTTTGCACCCATCTCTGTCTGGCTCACAAGGAAGGCCACAGTGGCCAGAAAGCCACTGTTGATAGAAGCAGATATGGGACATACAGCCATCAGGAGGAGTATGAGATGGGCCATAGCTCCCCACACTCGTCCCATGCTGTCACCACCACGACTGTGGCCACTGCAAGTGCTGGTGACGGGGCGGGCACAGAGCAATGCCTGTGCCACCACGGGACTGTGTCACAGAGGGGCACTGTAACCTCAGGGCAAAGGGGCCGACCCCAGCAGTCACGGAACCCTCCGCTGCCACTCTCGAGCTACCAGGGCAAGTAAGGCAGCAGGCTGCTCTGCTCCTGGCACTAGGGCTGGGGGCCGGATAGGGGGCCGTGCTGGGGGCAGCCGAGTCGGGGCACTTTTGGGCCTGCAAGGTGGTGACGTGCTGGGGCTCTGCAGCACTCGGGCAGGATGTCCCGGCCCACATGGAGCCCGCTGATGCCAAGACGGTGTGTGCTCATGTGCTGAGTGTTCGTGGGCAGCAGAATGAGCTTTGGCACATCCCGTGAGGCACCTACAGAGACAGAAACTGCTGAGGGCCAGGGGAGCCCCCCACTCTCCGTCCTCCCAACACCGCACAGAGCAGTGTGGGAATAAAGAGCTGGGTTGGGGAAACAACTCACTGTTATGTCTGCCTCTGCCATCGAATGAAAATGCAGCACAAAATTACCATCAGAAGAAACACAGCAATAGGATCTTTCAAGCAGAACATGGGGACGTCCTTAATGTAGATGCCCTTGGTGGGTTCTCCATCAGCTGCACCTGCAACTCCTACGGAGCCAGCCGTTACGAAGTGTGTTACAAAGCAGCATCCCTTCTCTTCGGCTCCGCCTGTGGCGTACAGCCCGTACAAAGGAGCTTCGGCTCGCAGCCCATCCTCGCGTGACACAGGCAGAGATTTCCCAGTCAGAACGTGCACTGAGCCGCCTGGGAGGCGACATCGCACCCCTGCAGTTCCAGATGCGCTGCTCTGCATCACGGCCTCACAGCAGGGCGAGAACGGAGCCCGAGCTCATGCTGCCTCACAGCCGGGGAGGAACTGGGATTGGTAGAGGGAGACGTCGCGTCCTCTCTTCATCACTGACGCGGGTCACGGAGGTTTGTCTGCAGTGCTGCAAGCCGTGGCTTTAGGTGAAAAGCGAGGCTGATAATGCAACGAGGTTGCAGTCCGTGGACTCACAGAGGTTGGGATGGAAGGATCCTCGGTCACGCTGCCCAGAGCCCCTCCAGTGTGGCTGGGCACCCGCAGGGATGGGGCACCCACAGCCGCTCTGGGCAGCAGTGCAGGGCCTCAGCTCCCCCTCTGAACAACGTCTAAACCAAGTCTCCCCTCCTTTACGTCAGAACTGTTCCTCTTTGTCCTATCACCAGCTCCCCGCACGGAAACTTCATTTCCCTCCTGTTAATCCTTGAAATAACGGAACATCTGCTCCATCACCCCAAATTCACATGAGGTCTCCGTGAGTTAAGCGCTACGCAGGTGTCGCGTGGAAACCTCTTACCCTGAACAGAATCCAAAGTGGGGACTGGGGGCATTTTCCACCCTGTGTCCTGCACAGACCAAGCAAGGTCTCGCACAGTCAGAAAATGATGTTGTTATTTATTGATGTTTTGCTACAAGAAAAATCTGGACAGCCA